CGTTCCCGATCCCAAGCCAACAATCAAACAAGAACATGACAAGAGAACGGGCCCATGTCCCTAACCCAACCCTTTTATTATAAGTTTTCTTAAAAAAAACATTTTTGTGAAAATTCTCAGATCCATGTTTGAGATTGGATTCACATAAGTGTTCCTCCAATTTGCTCAAACAAGGGCTCTGATACCAACTTGTAACATCCCATTTTCACAGCCAAAAATTTTCATTTTATTAAAGTAAAATTTCTCAGTTATAAATCCATTATTAAGAAAACCGTTTATTCCAAAGTACATTTATTGAAAATCAGAGTAATATAAGAAACACAGAATCCTCAATACTTCTGATGAGTGTGTACAGTCTCGCCTTCGCCTTCCCACTATCACCAAAAAACCTGAAAAACATAAACAACTGGGTAAGCACAAAGCTTAGTGAGTTCCCCCAAAATACCACATATGATAAACATACAATCATGCATTAGGACGATAATCATCGGATTGGAATGCCCAGACCCAATCAGTCCTCACACTAGAATGCCAACATGCAACGGGTCCAATCAGCCATCGGGGTGGAATAACTAGTGTTTGTTGGCCTACCCCCTCAACCAACCGCTCTTCACGAGCCTCCGTGCCTACGGCTTACATCCGGCCCGCATCGGGTATCTTGGCCTACAACACAAAGTAGGACTGTCTCAACTAACTACCACCAAATGTTAACATATAAACAATCAAGGGTCAAGTAGGCACATAATACAGGAAACATCAATCATACAACTCACTACTTCCTACTAGTTCTCTCACAATACACTGTCTCGCTACCAACTAACCTCCATGAAATGCGTAACCATAAGTAACCAGAAGTGAGATAGCCACCGAACAGATGATCCTAATCTATAGCCACAACCAAATAAGAAACATGCAAGAAAGCCTAGATCAAGAGTTCTCAGGCTATCCTACATGACCACATACAACCCCTAGGGCACTCCACTAGATGATAACCAGTATACCACTACTATAGCATCATATCATATAAGGATATACACACAGATCTAGGAGATCACTATAGCACAACAACATCCTATATACCAGGATACATATCTAACAGATCACCACAACATAACAACATCCTATCTACCAGGATACATAACCTAGTAGGTTAGCATTTGTGCCTTCGGCCCACATGCACGGTGAGGAAAACTCACTTGAATCGAAAAACTCTGAAACACTACGATACGACCCATTTTCTGTACTGCTTGCACCCACGAATCCACTAACACCAGAACTAGATGGAATCTTCATTATTAGCCCAAAATTCTCAAGTTGACCCAATGCCAAACTTGGTCAAAAGTCAACGATCAACGGAAGTTAACTGTTAAAGTCCAAAGCTGCTGAATACGCCTAGCGTACTCAACTTACGCCCAACGTACGCGACCCGATCCCACTCCTTCATTAAGCACTTAATACCTTAAGGTCTTTTGTCAAAGGCTTAGATCTAGACTCAAAACACCGACTTAAGTCATAAAGTTGCCACCTTTATGACTTTCCATGGCTAGAAAAGGTCCAAAAGTTAAAACCCTAACTTATTAATCCATTAAGACATCACAACTCTTGCATGGAAGGGATAGAAGGAACAAGATAACATTTTTATGGTTCTTAATAGCTCCATAATGGATAAAGTTTCCAACTTTATCCATTAGGACGGTCTAAACAATCTAGATCTATTCTATAATTCTGAAAGGGACCAACAGTGCATCTTTCTCAACTTAATCCATTAAGTCCAAGTCTCTAACCTTCAAATCTGAATCAATATGATGATTAGATGGATAAACTTTCTAAATTTATCCATAACAAGGTCACAAAGTTTCAAGATCTAAACTTTATGCACTAAAGTGACCAAAAGCTCATAATACTCAAAACTAGCTAGATCTAGCAAACGCATCATCAAGATTCAAGCTTTATACCACCAAAAGAAAGAACAAGGTGAACAAGTTCTGGATCTACAAGCTCCAATGCAACCAACACTTCTCCAATGAGCTCCTTCTTCTCCAAGATGCACCAAGAACACTCCAAAGCACTAGAAAACTCAAGGATATCACAAATGGGGCTAGGGTTTCGAAGTTAGGGTTAGAGAGGATGGAGGTTGAAGGTAATAAGGGTTTGGAATGAGTTAAGGTCTTTAAATAGGGCCCAAAACCTAACTATTAGGGTTTACATCAGGCTTGTATAGGCCCAACGTACTAGGTTGGGCCTCCGCGATCAGCCATGCTTAGTACGCCCAACATACACCCTGTACGCCCAACGTACTAGGCTAAGCCCAAAACCTTCCTAACTTCGAATGCTCATAACTTCTTCGTTCTAACTCCTTATCGAAGGTCATTATATCCACAAAAATGTATTGAAGAGCCCTACAATATTATATAGATATCTTGGACTAAAAACTTCTCGAAAAAAATCCATATTTAATGCAAGAACCCGGCCTGTGACTTTTCCCTTTCTACCCTTTGGCCCAATATATAGTTCAAGGGTTAAATCTCTTAACCATCATTACCTCCTTCCACAAGCACTAAACTTTACCTCCTTAAGTCCCAAAGCATTTACACAATCGACTTCCGGCCCACGGCACTGAAATAAGAAATGACAGGAAACAGGATGTTACATCTAACTTTAAACATGAATCAAAGAGCATGGAGTTCTTTGAACTTCATGGAACAAGTCACAAAGGGACCATCACTCATTAAAATGGACCGAAACACCAAATACCAATAGATCTGATGATGAAACATAATAAAACAAGGATCGTTGCAACCTACGATGGTCCAGAAAGTAGATGAAAGTTGATCTCTTCAGTTGCAAAGCTTCAAAACCAAGTATTTGAAGAACATGACACCTAAAATCCTTAAAAACTCAAGAATATGGATGTGAGGAGAGAGGATGAGCTTAATCTATTAAAGGAGGCTAGGGTTTGCTAGAAATAGGGGTTCTTGATGCAATAGAGGTTGCAAAATGACCTAAAACAAGGGGTTGGAGTCTATAAATACGAACCAACCCCTTATTTAATGGGCTTGAGTTGTACAGCCCACCACGCCGTGGTGATAGCTTTTTTCCCAATTCCATTCCAGCTTCAAAGAGTCATAACTTCTTCATTTCAACTTCGTTTTCAAAGATTTTTATATGCACACGAAAGTATTGACAAGCCCTACAATTCTATCTAATTACTGTTGACTTAAAGCATACCGAACTAAATTTATTAATTCATGCAAGAAGTCCAATAAATCATTTTTCCTATTTTACCATTTGGCTCCAAAGCACAATTCAAGGGCTTAAATCAATAAACCAACATTATCAACATCTAGTAGGGTCTAAACTCTATTTATTTGAAGCTCAATACCTTTTTTCGATCAGATTACGGTGTGCTTACCTGAAATCGGAAACATCCTGAAACTAGATGTTACAAAGTTAACTTAGCTTTAATGGATATTGAAGTGAAAAAAAGAACTAAGTCGAAATCTACAAGCAAAACGAGCGAACTCAACCTCCTCATCATCATTATTTGTACTTATTTTTTTTATATATAACTACCAATCTCCATCTTCAATTCCAAAAGCATCGTCCCATTCCCGTTATAAAATGCAGCCGTTGTCAACAAATCAAGACATCTTATTATTTGTACTTATTATTTTTATGTAACTACCAATCTCCATCTTCAATAGACATATTCTTTCCTTTTGGGCAACATCTGATATCTCCTTCCGACCAACAAATCAAGACATCTTATTATTGCATTCACAATTCCATGCTTGTTTTTTTGTTTTGCTTCTAAGTTCAACTTTTTTCACACAAATCATTGTATTTTAATCACAATTGCTCCATATAAAGTTTCGATTTGTAATTTACATTATCATGTTTTTTTTCCATGTATGTTTTTTATATCACATTACTTTCTAACTTAAAAAAAAAACAATGTTCTTTCAAGGATTGATCGTCTTTGTTTTTTTTTGTCAAATTATTTAATTTTCTATTTTATTGTACAAATAATCATATTAATACAAAATAACGATGATATATTTATGTTTAATACATCAAACTTTGTATAAAAATAAATGTTTAGAAATCAATGATTAATGAGTAGTATTTTTATAATCTATATACTCACTTCGTCCCATATTAATATTCCATGTTTCGTTTTTGATTTGTCTCAAAATAATAGCTTGCTTCTAAAAATAAATATATCTTTTACCAAAATACCCTTCATTATTAGTTATCTTACCATTGAATTAAATACAACAAAATGATGAAATTAAATGCAACAAAAAATTACAATTGTCATTTAATTTAATAAAGTTAGTGATAATTAATGTTATCTTAGTTTTTGTGTTTTTTTGTCTGTAATAATTTTGAGACGGAGAAATACTTTGTCAACAATGAATTTTATGGATTATAACAAAGTTATATATATATTTTTCAATGTTATGGACTTTGTCTTTTAAAGGTACTTTGATTATTTGATTATCAAATAAACTTGTATATCATTGTATATAACCAAGCGGTAGTTTAAACATGTTTTAAATGATAATAGTATAAGATGCTTTAAGTGTAATTCAACAAAATACAGAATATGTGTAAATCACAAAATTTAATCAGTATATTTGTAGCGCATCTCTCTCTCTCTCTCTCACAAAAAAAAAAAAAAAAAAAAAAAAAAAAAAAAAAAAAACATATTTTAAATGATAATAGTATAAGATGCTTTAACTGTAACACAACATAATACAGAATATGTGTAAATCACAAAATTTAATCAGTAGCTCTCTCTCTCTCTCTCTCTCTCTCTCTCTCTCTCTCTCTCTCTCTCTCTCTCTCTCTCTCTCTCTCTCTCTCTCATAAATACAACAGTATTCCATGCAACAATTTTCCTCGATATACATCTCTCTCTCTCATACACACTCACTACACACAAGATCAAACCAATATATACCCATACATCCGAAATACAAAAAGATTTACGTAACATGGTAGAACATGATCATTATCATCAACCAAAGCCTTTCACCGCCACACCAACCCAACTGAAGCTCTTTGGCATCATTGTCTCCAAGAATGAAGACGCAAAACCTTCCAAGATACCATCCCTCTCCTCCTCCACCTCCTCTGACAGCCGTAAGTACGAGTGTCACTACTGCTTCCGGGAATTCGAAAACTCACAAGCTTTGGGTGGTCATCAGAACGCCCACAAGAGAGAACGTCAGCACCTGAAACGAATTCAATTGCAAGCCAATCGGAACGCCGTCCGGAAAACTATGATCTCGGCCGTGGCTCCTCCACCCCGCCTCCTCCCTCGCGGTGGCCTAGTCATGCCTCCATCCACGACAACCACTTCTCCTCCATGGGCATACATCACATACGCCGCTCCTGACTTCCGCGTTCCCCATGCATACGAGTCACGGGCTGCTCAATCGTCGGCAATCGGTGGTGTAGGGATGTCAAGTTTGACAGGTGTTGAGCATAGTTACGTCGGGCCTCCGTTCACTAGGTCCTCCAATGGGGATAGGGGGGCCAACTCTAGTGACATAGACTTGCATCTGAGCCTTTAAGCTAAGCAGCGTCTTACTCTCTTCGTCTTGGAGCCTGGTCATATATAGTTCTGTAAACTCAAGCTAAGAGAAGCTAATTAGCTGTTGATAAATTTCATCTACAAGGATTCTGTCAATAATTATTTGTTTATATATATATATATATATATATATATATATATATATATATATATATATATATATATATATATATATATATATATATATATATATGTTAATTAAGTGAAAAGAAGTAGCACCATAAGGATTGATATTGTAAATTTTCTTTAAGTGAGAATATTTGTTGAGACGATGCAGAATTCTACACAGAAGTCTTAATTCGACATCGGTCGTATAGATTGTGTGTTTTAATATTATTATGTTTTATATAATTGTAATTAGCAAAATTGATAATAAAGCATTACTTTATGAGTATATATCTCTTTGCACTTTTTCCAACTATTTTAATCACATGATACTTCATGATAATAAATATAAATTTTGCTTCGTTTTAACATAATTATATAACATAAATCCTTAGTAGCACTTGAGATATTAACCAAATTTTGCTTTAAATTGGTCTTCTCAGTGTCGTTTTCTGATAATTAGAAATAACGTAAGTTACTTTGATTAAAAGTAGAAATGATAATCCACTTGTATACTCATCAAAATATAACTGATAATTCCTTTATTTATAAAATGTAAAAAGTACAATATATTTTTATCTATTGTTCGATCTATAATTAACTGGTAATTCATATTTGTTAGTTTGTTTTTATAATGAGGGCTTACGTATATATAACACAAAATACAAGGAGGCTGACCATATATTCAACGTTATACATATAAAGAACTTCATTTTTGACCACTAAATACGTTATTGACTTGAGCATTCGTCACAACTCACAAAGACTTGACTTATGTGAACTGATAGCTCATTATGTTGCGTGTAATTATGGTTACAATGAATGTCAATCATATATACAATCAAAATGAACACAAAGATTTTGGTCTAGTGGGTTTAATTGACAATTAGACTCAAAATGGAAATTATATTTGTTTTACTTTTAAATATAGGGCAAGAGTAAATGGTGAAAATAATAATAATAATAATAATAATTAATAACAATAATAATAATAATAAAATAATAAAAAAAATCATAGCAAAGCTAAAAACCGACACATCGAACAAAGTACATGACCATGCATGCATGATAGTGCCAATTCACTTACAAAGAAAGAAAATGACACTCAATCAAGATCCTTTCAAGATAACGTGACCAATTATTAAATCAAATTCAGAGACCTCACATAACTGCAAGAATATTAGCATACATAAGGCTAAACGGTATGGATTAGGTCAACCCACGCGTAGTGCCTACGTGACAAGGCCACCTACGCGTGAACACCGCCCCAGGTGTGCGTATGTGCCTTGTGGCGTGGGCTGGCTACGGGTGAAGACAACGGACATGATTGGTGCAGCATTTTCGATCGTTCCTTTTTGCATTTCTTTGACCGTTACAAACATAAAAAAAAAAATCAAATAAAACTTAACACATATATAAATACATACACAACATATAAACAAACACACTTCCATTCACATCACAAACATATTTGTATTCCATTTTTCAAACACAATTTCAACCATATATATGAATAACTTTGCGGATTCGATTTCTTCTTCTTCATCCGATGATGATGGCAGCTCTGATGAAGATGACTTGGTGTTGCACACGTTGTTGTCTGCGGCACGCAAAAGGGTGCAACAAAGAGGCGAAAGTTCAAATATCGAGAAGAGGCATAGAAATTCCATAGTTCGGGATCGTATGGCGGCACACGAGCTTTTGGTACGTGATTACTTTGCCCCTGATAGTTTGTACGACCTATCAAAATCTGAAGACCGATTCCGTATTAGTAGAAATTTATTTTTACGTATAGCTAGAGATTTGGAAAACAATTATGAGTTTTTCCAATTGAGTTTTTCCAATTGGTAAACGTGATTTTAGTACAATACGAAAATGCATAGCAGCCCTTAGACAATTGGCTTACGGCATAGCCGCAGACGCATCAGATGAGTATCTGAAAATGTCTGAGAGGACTGGGCGAGAATGTACTTATCTTTTTTGTGAGTATGTCATAGAGCTTTATGGTGACATATACTTGCGACATCCAACTAGAAATGATATCGAACAGTTGTATGTCGCTCATGAAGCTAAGCATGGCTTACCAGGAATGCTTGACATCATTGATTGTACACATTGGGAGTGGGATAATTGTCCCAATGCATGGCGAGCTCAATTCACATGAGGTGATCATGGCGTGCCGACTATTATACTAGAGGTTGTTGCTTCACATGACCTATGGTTTTGGCATGCATTCTTTGGTATGGCGGGGTCAAACAACGACCTGAATGTGCTTGGAGCCTCTCCGATATTTAATGATATTTTGCAGGGTAAAGCCTCAAACATGCCTTTCGTTGTGAATGAACATCAATATAATTATGGGTATTACCTTGGTGATGGGATATATCCAGAGTACGTTACGTTTGTCAAGTCGTACTCATTTCCGGCCGATGAAAAACGAAAATTGTTGAAGTTAGCACAAGAATCGGCTAGGAAGGATGTAGAACGGGCGTTTGGGGTCCTCAAACAAAAGTGACACATTATCAAACATCCGACACGGTCATGGGATAGGGCGAAATTGACGAAGTTGTTGACTGCTTGTGTTATTTTACATAACATGATAATTGAAGAAGAGGGCAAGGCTATTTGTATGTATAATCCGGAAGATATTCTTAACCCACCTGCAGTAATACAAGTCGGCAGCCCTGCATACTTCACTCGACTTTTGGAAATACAAAATAGTGAAACACATCACAATTTACGTTATGATTTAACTGAGCATATATGGCAAAGGCAATTCCAGCAACATGGTGGCGTTGACGACGACGGAGATGACGACGAGGATGACGATGACGGGGATGACGACGAGGAGGGCGACGAGTAATATTTTCTATTTTTTTTAGTAATTTAGGTTTTAAATGATTATGTTTTTTAAGTATTGTAGATTTTAAATTTTTGGTTTTTAAATTAATGTAAAATGCTTTTAATTAATATTTATGTTTTTATTTTTGTTTACTAATTATTTTTTAAATTAATCTAATATTGTCAAAAAGTATAAAAAAAGAAAAAAAAATGATGTGGAGTGGTAACCATTTCCAAGGGTTAGTGGGTTTGTAGTGGAGGTGATGTGATGCTGATGTGACGTCAATTTTTGAGTAGGTTGGGTGTGACCATACCCCTTAGTCTAACCATATTAATAAGGGTAAATTGTTGATGCCAATGGTTTATTAAAAATTGCACTTCTTCGAAGTTAATTTTTTTTGGAAACGACAAATATATTATAAAATAGGTCACATGCTTAGCAAGTAGCTATAAACATGAGCAAATACAAGGAAAATATCACAATACAAAATTTTAACAAAATGGTGATACACTCCAATCTATCGACCTATTTATCACTTGAGTAGTTCTATATTTGTACCACGCATATGTTTGAAAGATCACCTCATCCGCAATTTGTGCCGGCCACGTCCTTATTTGTTTGAACACCTTGTTGTTTCTAGCCATCCAAATGAACCATAAGAGTGCATATGCTACCGCATTCAATCGTTCCTTTTTTCTTGAACAATTACCCCAATTTGCTGCAAAGTGTAAGAATTCTGTCACGTTGTCAAATTGAGGGACATATATCTGACACCATTTGAAGATCCATTCCCTTGCCTCCTTTTCCACTTGACACTTTATTAGCAGGTGATCGCTAGTTTCTTGTTCTACGCTACACATCGAACACATAGTTGATTGCAGTTTGATACCCCTAACTTCTAAGTTTGAGGCCACTAGAATTTTATTTATCATTGCTCTCCAAATGAAACATCTAATCTTTAGGGGAACCACCTTAGACCAATCAATACGGACACCATGTTGTGAGACTGTTAATTTCGAGTCTAACATTCTTCTTAAAGTGTTAACCGTATAATTCCCATCCGAGTTTAAGGTGCATCGAAAACCATTGTTGACAGGAATCATGCGAATATTTCTAAGTAAGGAGCTTATTTCTTCAAGGACAGTCAGCGTCTCATCATCCATATGTTGTACTTTCCATTTCCAATTGAAGCCATCTGTTTGAATTCGATCCACAATTGAGCATAATTTGACTTTTTCTAGATTGTACAGTCTAGGAAAACGCTCCTGGAGTGTTAATTCGCCATACCACCTGTCTTTCCAAAACAAAAAACTGTTTTTGGAAGATGGAATTAAAGTGAACAACTCATGAAAATTAACATCGAATTATGGAAGGGACTTAATAGCTTTTGCAATATTACACCATGTGCCATTGAACGATTTCTTTGCAATGACTGTGACCGGTTTCTTAGCCAAGTTGTGTAAAGAGCTTGTGACTTCCACAAGGCATTGATATGCGATTTTGGAAAGATTGATGCAGAAATGTCACTTGGAGCAACTAACTACCCTGAGCTAGGAATTGTATACAAAAGCCTCAAGATGGTCCCAAATATTTCATTCCGGTGACCGCAATCCATCGACTCACCAAGAAGAAAATAGACACCACTTTGGCTTTAATGCAAAGATCGAAGAACACTACGGATGAAGTCAAGTTTGAAATCTCAAGGAGAATCCAGTGGTTGTTCGAAGTTAGAAAATTCGGGTGGCTTCTTATTCGGTTCCTCAAGTTGAACAAGTGAAGAAAGTTAGATAAGAGGTCACTTTGGGGGAAATTGTTGATAAAAAAATGTGACCCTCTTTAGCTAAGGAACCGCAGTCTGGAGTGTTGGTGATACCGTAGAAGAAATTGACTACCGAAGTTGGAGAAAATCTTTTGTGAACCGTAACCACAACAGCTACCGCAGAGATGAATGATGAATGAAGACTTTCATGTTACTTTACTGACTTAGCGTGTTTGCTTAGTTTTGTCCAGTGAACCTTGCATGGTCATTGAAG